TTGTGCAGGTCTGACTTTACGAAGACAGCCATGCCAAGAGGAGGGAAGGGGACACGGCCGCCTCAGAGGCCGTTGGGCGCATCAGGAGGATATGAGCGGCATGGGCCTTGCCAACGAGAGAGTAATCCAGTCTACAATGATGGGGACATGGAGCTATTCCTGGACAGTTTCTGGGAGCATGCGAGACGTATGGGCTGGACCGTCACTCAGGCGATTGAGAAATTGAGGGGAGCAGGTAGGTTCGAAGAGCCCATCGCCAGGATTCGTAGGGAGGCGACGACGAGGCAGGAGGTGGAGATAAGGATGGAGGAGTTGCGACCCTCGCCTGTAGGACCTGATGGCAGGCCGATTCGCCTGGAGATTGGAAATGCGTCGGACTTCATCCCCTCGTTTGAGTGGTTCATGCAAGAGCAGGGCATACAGAGAGATGATTGGATGCAGACACTACCACTCTGGACCAGGAAGGCGGAAAGGCCACTGACTATGCAGATCAGGGACATGGCACGAGATTGGGAAAGTTGCAGGGCACATTTGAGAGAGGCCTTTCGACGGCCAGAGCTCCCTCAGCCCAGAGTCGAGAGGCGGCAGAGGAGTCAGAGGCCGAGGGACCCTGAGCCCAGGGAGGCGAGACCATCTCGAGGAGGACGGAAGACCCTAGCCAGGAGAGAGCAGGAGCCAGAGGATGAGGAGCGAGGGGCATACCCTGAGTGTGGGTTGGGGCCAGTGGAGTTTCATCGTTTTACTGAGGGTGGATTGAGGAGGTCGCCAGCACACACACAGGGGAAACCACCAGCGTCAGAGGGGCCCTTGAGGGAATTGAAGATGCATTTAGATATCTCTCGGTGGAGGGCGTCGCTTCAGGGTGAGGAGCATGGAGAGCAGGCAGAGGAGGTGTCACGAGAGGAGGTGTCACGAGAGGAGGTGCCACAGGGGGAGATACCACGAGAAGAGATGTCACGGGAGGAGGTGCCACAGGAAGAGGTCCAGGGTACTCAGCGAGAGAGGGGGTTGGGCGATGAGGGGAGACATGCAGGGAAGGAAGTGATAGAGGTTGGAGAAGACACGCCCCCACAGACGCCAGCAGTGGGTTTGAGACTCGGGGGTGCACCAGGGAGCACCCGGCAAGCAAAGGAGGGGTTGCAGAGAGAGGAGACCCCTTTGCCTTCGTCAGAAAAGGCTCCTTCGCCAGAAGAGAGGGCAGAAAGGAGGAGAGAGAGGGCAACTGTAAGGAGAGAAGCTTTGATCCTGATTGATAGGCACCTATCAGCTCATGCCCTGGAGCACCCAGACCTGGAGGAGCCAGCACCTGCAGAGCCACGCCAGGAGTCATGCCAGCCCGAGAAGGAGATGGAAGCAGAAATCCCAAGGAGGGTCGACCTCCGCACGAAGGAAAGGGTGCCAGCTGGAGAGACGGCCGAAAAAAAGAGGGCAAGACGAACCAGGCGGATAGATGAGATATGGCAGAAGAGGCAGAGGTTGGAGGCAGCTGGGGAGCTCCCGGAACAGCAGCAGGAGAGGCAGAGATCGGAGGCAGCAGGAGCACTCCCGGGTCAGCCGCCCAGCGTGCCAGCCAAGGCCCCGGAAATTCCTGAAATGTGGAGAGACTTCTGGGAGCAGAGAGGAGAGGAGCTTCCATCACCAGTCAGAGCCGGGTTTGGGGTGGTCAGGAAGGCGAAAGAAAGGTTAGATCGTAAAATCAAGTTYCTGGCCAAGACCACTTTTGACCGGCACTTGTTATTAGAGGGCGATCTGGCGGGGAAGAAAATGAAGGAAGCCAGCCATGGAGTACGTCTGGAGGCTATGGAGGTGGAAATTCAGGAACTTAGGGCTTTGGTGGCCAGCCAGGCAGCTATCATTGAGAGCCTGAGGCAGCAAACCCAGGGAAAGGTGGACAGACCAGAGAGCAGCCGGCAGGGAGAGCAGAGGCAGCCAGGACATGGATTGCCAGGACAGCCATCTGCGACAGAGCCTCGCCAGGAGTCGCCTATGGGGAGAGTTATCCTGGAGCCAGAGGAGGCGAGAGCCCAGAGACAGGCGGAGAGAGAGGCGTTCGAGTTTAGAGCCCCTACTGAGCTCGCGACGCTGCCGGTGGCGGCGGTAGGCCTAGTCGTACGTTTGGCAGTAGAGGAGGGGCTGCCACCATCTAGCAGTGAGCCGACTCAGGGTTCGGCAGAGAGATCCATGGGCGTGCTCCTTGAGGCGGTGCATACTATGCAGGAGGAGGTGAGTTTGTTTTCACCTGAGCAGAGGATAGAGGAGCCTCTTGAGAGAGAGATGGGGATTGAGGAGGAGGGTGCCATCGAGGGCAGACTCCAGAGGATAGGCACACCTGAGTATGGACCAGAGGAGATTGAGGAGCAGCACACGGTAGTGCCAGGGGCGGCACTCGAGAGGAGGCCTCAGAGGTTGGACACGCCCGAGTACGTTCCAGCGACAGAAGATTTAAGAGGCAGACTAGGATTTTGGGCTACTGGATCTGGGTCTGGTGGACCAGTTCCGGGGACAGAGCGACAGGAAGTCGTTGGTACCGCAGCTCCTCAAACAGAGCAGCAGGGGGTTGTCAGTACCTTGGCAGGATCTCCTTCATCACCACCTTCTCAGCCCGGGAAGAAGAAGTTCAAGAGGAAGGTTGATCAACTATGTTTCTACTGCAAGAGGAGCGGGCATCACGCTTTGGACTGTCTCGAGTTTCTTGAGGATAAGGCAGCAGGGAAAATTTCAGAGGTAGGGGGTAAAATGTATGATAGACAGGGTAGGATAGTAGAGAAGTCCGCAGATGGACTTAGGGCTCAGTTATATAGGCAAAACCAGGAGGAGTTGAGGAGGTAGGGCCGGCTTTGTCTATATAAGCGAGCGGGCATTTTGTGAGGCATCAACTTAGGTTCTGTGTGATACTCTCTTAGACTTAGAAGACATTTTGATGATTACTGTTAATCTAGATCTGAACTCTAGTGTTTCTACTGAGTTGGGGTTTTGAGGGTCAGGGCAGTTTAGATGAGGCATGTACATATTTAGGTGGCTTACGCCCTGGCCTTTGAGAGACAGATCTAACATATATATTTTAAGGGTAGTTGTCAGTGTGGGTTTGGTGTGGCTTGAGTTGAGCAAGCTATGATTTGGAGACACTTTCTGTGTGAGACATTGTACTCCCTGAGTGTATATTATGATGAGGTTTCCTTCAGGGACCATTCTTATATGTGACGATCACTTGTCTCTCTCACATGTGTGGTTGTATTCTGATGTATGATGAGTTTGTATGGACAATGTGTGAAAAACTTTTTATGTATCTTGGGTATTGTGAATATGATTGTAAGTAAAACTGTCTACTCCTCGGTATACTTGTGCGACCTGCCCACGGCAGCTGATAAGGCAGAGTATAAGGGGAGGAAGCGCAATCCGTCTGTGAAAGTTATGTAAGTTGTGATGAGGACCCATAAGATGGTCTCTCAGTGATGTTCTGTTTTATGATGGGACCCCCTTAGATTTTGGAAAAGGGAGGGGATGTTTTGTGATGTAACGTAAACCCTCGTGATTTTGAGAGAGGGGGTGTTTTGTTTATGATGAGACCCTCGTGATTTCTGGAAGAGAGAATGTATTGTTTTATGGAGAGATCCCTCGCGATTTTTGGAAGAGGGGGTGTTTTGGTTATGAAGAGAGCCCCTTTTGGATTGTTGGAAAAGGGGAGTGGTTTTTGGTTGAAAGACTCATCCTCAGAAGTGAATAAATTGATTTATGGCATGATGAGTTGTTAGATGGGTGATAAAGTCTGACGGAAAGGGGCCACTTTTTGTTTGAAATGTTTGAGAAAGTCGCAATGAGTACAGGGCGAGAGATGTCTCAGGGTGG